TTTTTTTTTTTTTTTTTTTTGTATACACATTTAGAGATCTATAGGTTATGAACCGAATCTCCCTCTGTATTATCTTGTTCTTCTAAGAATCGAGTCCTTGTGCTGGCAATGGAAACTTCCTTCTCAGCATCCACTCAACTCAATTTATTTTTTTCCAAATTGGGAAAGGCATTTTTCTCTGTAGGTGATTTTTTTTTTCCGATTCAAACTGGAAGATCTCAGGCCACCGCGACGGTGCCGGACCGTACAGCTTTCTCGCCAGCTTCTTGTTTTCTGTGACTACGAGTGTTCGAAGAGGAAGATGATGAAGAAGAAGAAGAAGAGCGCCTCCAACTTTTCTCCTTCGCCTCGTCGATTTCAATCTGTTCTTGCCGGCACTCTTTGCTACAAAATGGAGTGTTTCCTCTGCAATACAGTAAAGAAACTATCAATTCTCAGATCGAAACCTCCAAATCAGAACAAATAGACTGAAAAAACTGTTAGATCTAAACACAGTTCAACCTAAACCACTTTCCATCACTCTATCAAACCTCAACCAAAAACGACCACATAAATCCGATCTAAGCCTAATTCGACTATACTCAAGCCTCAAATTCTCAGTAACCAGACGAAGAACTCTCGATTAAAACTCAACAAAAACAGAAGCTCTTCAGGCAATGATAAATTGAACGGACCTGTACATGAAGATATCGGAGTTACGTCCGAGCGGTTTCCGGCACAGGGAACAGGCCTCGAGGAAGTGAGGTTCGTGGAGAAGGAAATCGGCGCAGCCGGCGTAGAACAGCGGCACAGTTCTCATAGTAACAGAAGGCGAAGAAACTAAAAGTTGCTAAAAAAATCGCCGGAACTGAGCAAGAATTCGAGAGCTTTTAGAGCTAGGGCAGAAGATACGATGAAGAAGATGAGAGGAAATGGAAAGCCGGGGGGAGGGAGAAAGGTTGGGTACTCGGGTCAATTTATATTGCTCTGCCAGAAGGTGGTGGAATCCCCTGCCTCGCGGACTACGATAACAAGATGATGTGGACCAAATGAACAAATTTCTTCAATCATTTAATCAAATTAAATATTGTATCAAACAAAATTATACTTAATTATTATTTTTTAATTCAAGTGATAATATAAATACATAATAATACTTAATTACAGCTGAAACACAGCCATTTTAAAGAGGGAATCAATTCAAACTCGAATTTTCAAAATTATTATTATTATTATTATTATAAAAATAAACTCAAATTTACTTAAATAAAATGAATATCCTAAAATTTATGAAAATTAGTAATTTATACAATTATTAATTAAATTATAAAATTTATACAATTATTGATTTTAGTTTTTTTTAAAGCAATACAATTCGTAGAGTATAAATTACATGGATTTTGATTGGTTGCAGCATGCGAAGCAGCGGATAATTGCCCAATAAAATAAAATAAAAAAATAAATAAATAGTTAATGGATGGTTTTCCCTGTTCCGGGGTGAAAATCATTGGCCATACATAAGTGCATGCATCCTTTTCCCAAACCCGATGGGCCAAAATAAAATAAAACTTTATTTATTTATTTATTTATCAATTTTAGAATTCGGTCCTCCATCTTTTTCATATTCCACATTTCACCCCAAAAGTTACTATATTTATCGTCAAGTGGGGGAGTGCGCATTTATATATAAAAAAAAAAACAGAACCAGGTAGGTCCTGTATTGCAAATCTTAATATAATATTCCATTATTTTTTTTTATTGCATAATATTCCATAATCATGGGGTATTTAAATGGGTTGAAAATGACTATTAATGTAAATTACAATAAAATAAACATTTTTTAATTCAATGAATATTTGTATCGTTTTCGTTTAAATTTTATCGTGTGAATATTGCTTATTTTGTTATTTCAATTATGCACGAGTTCTTAATTTGCTAATAGATTAACATTACAATATATGATAATATTTAACGATATTTTAAAATATAATAAGGTATGGATCATTAACGAGTATTTTAATATTTGACACTGACTATTTTAATATTTTACACCGGCTATGGTAATGAAATTCAATGTCACGTAGAAATCTGAATATTTGGACGAAAGTTAGGTTAAGCAAATGAAAGGGGCCGATTATCTTTTCCAACCCCTTATTTTCTCGAAAAATGGAATCTTTTGTTGAACCCGAGTTACTTGATTGAGTTATCCATTCAGTATCGAGCAAATAGAACAAACAGATATAGAATTAGACTAATCTCTAAAGGCTTTTTTTGGGTATTAATCAATGTCCTCCCAGGAAACATGCGAAACAGATGAATAATCACAAGGAGGCTGTATATTATTATTTTTATTTTTTTTTGAGTTAGGAGTATTATTCAAAGGTTCCTTCTCCGGTGGAACAAGTATAACAAACCATGATGTCTTTAACAACGACATAATATTTATAAAATTAATAAATTTTTATTTAATAATTGAGACAGCTGGAATTTTGCAATTAATTATTAGCTTATCCCGCAAGTTAACATCTCTTAGTATAAAGATACTTCTACGTAGTCAATAATAAATAAATAAATATATTGATCAAAATATTATTTTAAAATTTTTTTAATTTAGTCCTTAAAAAATTATCATTTTGACCAAATTTAATTATTTGAATATATTTTGTATAAAGAAAATAGCCCTAGGGACTATTTTTCGATTTAATTTAATATTTATTAAAAGTATGATAAATAAAAGTAAATATTTAAAAATAGATATAACAAAATAAAATACGATCCTAATAATATTTTTAATCTAATATATTAAGTAAATTAATATATCTCATTTAGCAACCATTTATTAGATTTATTTTAAATGTAATAGGTATAATTAACATTGTAAACATCGATTTATTACTAAATAATAATGAATATATATTAAAATAAAATAGATATAATGAATGACGTGTCGAGAAATATCATATCACGAATAATAATTAGTGTATCGTGAATTTCAATGTTTAAACGGTATATTTTAAAAGAAAGTAATAATTTTTTTATTTTAAAAAATAGTTTAAGACTTTGAAATCAAATTGATATGGTGATGTGAGGGACCTGAATAAAATATTGGGATAAAATCTTGGGAAATTATAGTGTCAGTATCACGAATGAATGTGATAATAATAAATACCAAGA